GCGGGCAAAAGACCCGGCCCCGAGTGAGAAAGGAGGAAAAAGTATCGAGCCGGAGCGTCGTTGTTGTTGTTGTTGTTGTTGTTGTTGTTGTTGTCGTCGGTGTTGTTGTTGTTGTTGTCGTTGCTGCTGTTATTTTTTTTTTGGGGGGGGGGTTCGGGTTGGCGCGAGCCCAATTTTCAGAGGAAGTGCAGGCGGCGCTTAGGCGCCTAGGCGAGAGCGCGAAACCGCATTCAAGGTGTCCAACGATAGTGACCGTTTAGTAATTGAGTTTCAACAGCAACAACTAACCGCAGCGCATAATTTCATGTCAGCCACGCGCCTTGGGACAGTGAGTGACAGTTCGGCCCTCTCACTCTAATGGCAGCGCCCCCGCCGTCCTTGTCAAAAACGATTGCAAAGTGGTCGCCGGGCGCCCGCGCATCCTGCAGATTCGGAGGCAAAGTACAGTGTGTATTGTTTTTGACCCGAATGATGGGGGGGGTGTTTATCCATAGGTCGCAGGCTAAACTTCCCCCCCGAGTCCGGGAATGAGGGTTTAGGCAGGGTGGAGACAAAGTTCGTTAAACCACCTACCCCCAGAGGGCCGGAGGGATTTGGATGAGTACTCACCGCTTGTTGAAAGCGCACTGCGATCGTTTTGTTTGTGGAGCCCTGGTGGCCACACGAAATCAACCTTGGATACATCTGAGTAGATAGCGCGGCGGGGGTCGACTCGCATCGGCATGCTCGATCCGTATATTATATCGTCATGAGCAGCACATGCGATGTGAGAGCTCGTTAAAGAATGTGCCTATCAGAGTGGCCGTGGTGTCTTTGGCCAAGCCTCAGTATGTGCCCCACCGGCTTCCAAACCATGGGCTTCTCATTTCCAGACTCTTTTTCCAATGCTTTCACAGTGCATTTAATTTGTATGTTTATGTGTACATCAGTGTGCATGTGCGTGTCTGTGCATACGGAATGGACCTTTTGGGGCCTGCTTCGACCCTTAGGGCCCTTGGATTACACCCCTGGTGGCAGAAGATCCTAAGCGGTTCTGTGGAGCATTGAAAACAACACCGTATTTAAAATGCGCTACGTGGTGTGAGAATAATACAGGGCGTATTCTTGAGACTATGACGTGGGAGGCAACAGGGGACAGCATCGAGAGACCGTCTGGGAAACCGAACGGAAGACCACACGTCAGACCGGCTTGGGATCCGCAAAAGGTTCACAATGGGCCTTCGTAACACAAGCTAGACTCTTATACGCAAGTTTCGGGCGGGCGCCAAGGGGAGGAGGAGGAGGAGGAAGAGGAGGAGGAGGAGGAGGAGGAGGAGGAGGAGGAGAGGAGGAGAGGAGGAGAGGAGGAGGAGGAGGAGGAGGAGGGACGAGGAGGGGAGAGGAGGAGGAGGAGGAGGAGGAGGAGGAGGAGGAGAGGAGAGAGGAGAGAGGAGAGGAGAGAGAGAGAGAGGAGGAGGAGGAGGAGGGGAGGAGGAGGAAGAGGAGGAGGGAGGAGGAGGAGGAGAGAGGAGGAGGAGGAGGAGGAGGAGGAGGAGGAGGAGAAGGAGAAGGAGGAGGAGGGCCATGTTTCTTCACCCCCCCTTTGGGTCCGTCCCCCATAATGCACCCGCCTGGCAGCTTTTGCTTGGGGAACACTGCCTTTTTTGGGGGTCGAGAGGTCGACGGCCTGCGCCGCGAAAGAAACACGACGCTGTGGGAGAACACACACTGTGGAACACACACAGACACAGACACAGACACAGACACAGACACAGACACAGACACAGACACAGACACAGACACACACAGACACAGACACAGACACAGACACACACAGACACAGACACAGACACAGACACAGACACAGACACAGACACAGACACAGACACAGACACAGACACAGACACAGACACAGACACAGACACAGACACAGACACAGACACACACACAGACACAGACACAGACACAGACACACACAGACACAGACACAGACACAGACACAGACACAGACACAGACACAGCACAGGCACAGGACACAGACACAGACACAGACACAGACACAGACACAGACACAGACACAGACACAGACACAGACACAGACACAGACACAGACACAGACACAGACACAGACACAGACACAGACAGACACAGACACAGACACAGACACAGACACAGACACAGACACAGACACAGACACAGACACAGACACAGACACAGACACAGACACAGACACAGACACAGACACAGACACAGACACAGACACAGACACAGACACAGACACAGACACAGACACAGACACAGACACAGACGCAGACGCAGACGCAGACGCAGACGCAGACGACGCAGACGCAGACGCAGACACAGACACAGACACAGACACAGACACAGACACAGACGCAGACGCAGACGCAGACACAGACGCAGACGCAGACGCAGACACAGACACAGACACAGACACAGACACAGACACAGACACAGACACAGACACAGACAGACGC